AAAAATAACGTTTTAATCGGCCATTTTTAAATAAAATCACGATTTCTTAAAAAATAGCCACATAATTCATCTTTAAGATCAGCCCAGAAAGAAGTCGATATTTTTATTTTTCTGGAAGATATAAATTTTTAAACATTGGGGAAAAGAAGCTTCAATGCAGATAATATGGCATTTGATTTTTCAGATAACAATTTTTTTTTGAACATTTTTTATATCAGTTAATTTTTAAACTAAAAATTTTTTTAATTTTTATTATCATGATTTTTAAAATAATTTTTTTGTATCCACCATCATCCACCACCACCACCCACCACCACCCCCACCATCACCCACCATCACCACCCACCACCACCCACCACCACCACCCACCACCACCACTCACAGCCACCCACCACCACCACCCATCACCACCACCCACTACCACCACCCATCCCCACCGCCCACCACCACCACCCACTACCACCATTTACCACAACTACTCTTCATCATCATTTTTTACATCATGTGATTTTTAAAGTAAAAATTTTATTTTCAAAATTTTTTGTCATGTGTTTTTTAAAATAAAAAATTTTTTTTTGAAAATTTTTTATATCATTTGATTTTTAAATAAAAATTTTTTTTTGAACCACTATTACTCACCACCACCCACCACCATCACTTATTACCACCCACCACCAGCACCCATCATCACCATCTATTTTAATTAAACAAATTTTAACAATTTTTGAAAAAAATAAATTTTCAAAAAATGACGTTTTAATCGGCCATTTTAAATCGGCTATTTTTTAATAAAATCACGGTTTCTTAAAAAATAGCCACATAATTCATCTTTAAGATGAGCCGAGAAAGAAGTCTATATCTTTATTTTTCTGGAAGATATAAATTTTTAAACATTGGGAAAAAGAGGCTTCAACGCAGGTAATACGGCAATTTAAGATAGGATATGTATTAATAAAGCGCCAAATTACAAGTGGATCGTATTTATATTTTTCTTGCAATCCGAGCTCAAAAAATTTTTATTTTTCAGGCTGGTCAAGTGTCCTACTCTTTTAAGTTCTGTGCAGTTCATTATGGAATGACAACATAACAAAGCCAAGAACGTTCCGTTTTCGAGCTCATAACAGTTGTCTATTATGATCGTCGTCAATTACATTAATTTTTTGACTTTAATCTCTTCATCATAAATGTCAATAAATGCCATTATGACTTTCAAAAATTAGATAACTCATTCAAACGCATTCCAACAAACACGCACACAAAAAGATCTTCCATAGCATTACAGTCCTTTGTGGATCACACAGAAAACAATATGTAGGAATACAAAAACAGATTCTTACATGACTCACTTGTAAATGCTAAGATGATGATGTATGCACTCCGATATCTCGATTTTATCTTCATTCGAAGAAAGAGCATATCCCAGACATCTAACTGATTTGTTAATTATTAATTTGTGAAGACGACTTTCAAAAATTTCAAGTTGCGCACACGTTTGTATGAGTAAACCGAAAACTAGAGTTTCCGTACCGACATTTATCATAGTGGCAAAAATTAAAGTTATAATTTGATGAATAGATACAATCCAAAACACCGTAGGTACATTAATGTAATTACAAGGTAGCCATATTCGATAAGGTAGGTGACCTTGCATAACATTTAATACTGATCCTATTGTAGTGCCTGTGACGGAGCTTGTTGCTAAAAGTGAATATTTTATTGAACATGACCTATAATAGAAACAAGACAAATTTTCCTTTTTCTACATTATGTTAATTAGAATTTATTTATAATTTTAATTTGCGTTTATTAGAGAGTGCGAATAGTTCGAATTCGAATCACAGTAGATTTGATTCATGTTTGTTTTCGAATTTGCAAGATTTTTGAATTTTCAAAATCGAATATTTCGGAAATTTCGAATCAACAATGGTTCGATTTCGAATCGATCGTATATTTTATTTGATTTATTTACATCTCCCGCGCGACCAATTATTCTTATCTAATAAATAAGTATTTTTGATATATGTAATGTCTTCCTATAGATTAATAAAATATTTGAAAGCATTCTAACTATTCGTGTATACACATTATTCATATTTTCTAGTTTAAAACATAAGATCATAATTCTTTGTAATAAGATGTAAATCGCAAATAGATCTTCAGTTTGTTGAAATCATTCCGTAAAGTAATGTAAATCATAATTTGATATTTATTATGTTTAAATTAACATGTAATGTAAATCTGGGAAAATTTGATTGAGATTCGATTCGTATTCGAATTAAAGAGATTCGATTCGACCATGCAAATGCTTGATTCGCACACCTCTAAAGCTTATGACACAATTTATATTTCTGTAAATCTTGTGTGTGCAATACAATTTTAAAATAATATTTAAAAGTTAATTCTTTACAGACATATTGTCTAATTTAACAAAATATATATAAATAATGATTAAATTCTGAAATGTGTCAACGATAACTAATGTGTAAAATGAATAAAATTTAATAATTAAATTAATAAAGGCTTTATAAAGAGAATGCTATGTTACAAATATTTAGCCATTTAATTGGATCTAAAAACGTCAGATTTATCACGTATACGTATAATGGAATACGCGAATTAAATTCTTGCAACAATTTTTGCGAGTTGTATTGATATTTCATAACTCGCAGATTTTTTATAATATATTTATACGTACCTAATAAACTTATTAAATTTTGTTTGTATTGCCGCTTCGTTCTCGTCACAGGGTTTACACGGTGCTCTCATCAATATTTGCACCAAGTTGATGATTGCATTCCGACGCACCACAACGATAGTCGCTTTACAACATACAGCAACAATAGTCAGGAACATTAGAGTGTTATTAGCAAAATCGTCGATATTGTCAACAATAAGTAATATATCCATAAATTGAGTTAACACCAAAAAGTATTCCGAGAATATTACAATAAACGTAAATATATTATACAGCAGCTTTGCGCCATTTGATGACCATTCAATAGGTCGCCATATACCACAAAGGGTATATATTAAAAAATTTAGAGAAAGTATTTGCATATTTAGACTTCTCTCTTTTAGCGAACAACTTATCGATGCGCATAAAAGTGTAGTCTCTTTCTCTACATATAAAATATCTAAAAAAAGTAATTTAAAACATTGCAAAAGAAATTATCTTTTCTTAAATGTGCTAAATTAAACATTTGATGAGTGTATATATGTAAGATTATAAGAAAAATTGAATTTATAATGCAGACGCTAGTATAATATTCCACAAATAGATTACGCGGTTAGTATATTCCACAAATAACTAATATATATTAAAATATACACCCACTGCACTTGACACTGTATGTAAACGTTTACGATAAATTTTATTCGTTTAATTAATGCGTAAATCGAGTAAAGGTTTTCTTAAGTAAAAACTCGGACGATCTTATATTTAATTATAATGCACCACTCTTCTGTTGCAAATGCAACTAGAAGGCAATATTAATAAGCATTTACTGCACACCTCTTTTGGAATATTGTTTTTCACAATTTTTGCTACTATAAAAAAGAATTAACAAATATTACAGACGTTATATAAAACGTGTTTTACTATGCCGTGAAGATCAATAAAATTCATTTAAATGTAACCGAGCACGCCTTGCGACGGACTATGTATAGTTTATACATACTTCAGCTTCTTAACCCTTAGTATTATTAATAACGGTCATTAAAAAATCGACATGAAGTCGATTAGACATTTATTACGGGGTATGCGTTCTTTTCCGCTCTTGAGCGAATACTATAATTGTGAAAATTTTCTTACTTGCAACTACCGGACAAGTCATTACCGTCCTTTACCATCTTGCCCACTGTATTATATTCCCATTGAATATAAAATATTTGTATATTTTTATGTTTGTCTGAACATGAAGAGGAATATCATATTTTTCGCAATGCCTCGCTTTGTCACGTAAAATAAGAGATAATGTAGCGATATAGGCACGTTATTGTATTTACAATATATTTAAATACTTTTTAAGATAACAAAATTTCAACGTTTATCGATTGAAACAAGAGTGTATAGTACTTTTAAATATTTTTTTAAATAATTATTTGAGCGTATACTGATTACATTTAACAATAAGTGTATGATAACTATATTACCCACAATGTGTGTAGGATCAGATATGACAAATAAAAATTAAGAAATTTCTATTTCTTGACTTTATGTTAAAGCTAAAATTAATGCAGTTTGTATATGAAATCAAAACATACATTTTATTACATTCACTATGTGTAATGTGTATGTATTCAATGTGCACGTATTAGCGGTAGTATTCATATGATCATAATAAAGAGTAAGGTTGAAATAAATATTTTACATAAATAGAAACTTATAAGTATAAGATTTTACTAATTTATGAAAACTACATAATTATCACATGCCTAAGTATACTTTTGATTATTTACGTTTTATTTTTGAAGTATGTTAAATGCCGAGTACGACGTTTTTAAGATCTGAAAAGAAAATATTAATATATGAATCGATTATTGGTTAGCAGCGCAATTATTAAAAGTTTCGACCGTGTAGTTTTTCTCTGATATTTTATCTTGTAATATGCGCCAAGGTACGAGTATGTTACTGATAATATCGCTTACAAATATTTACATTGTCACCGAAATATTTATCACCTGCACGATACTAACATTGCTGTAAGACTGAAGGGACATAGTTATCAAGAAACTGCTGGTAAATTTTATAGGAATTGTGCTTCGTATTATGATCATGAGCAATTCCTTTTTTTCATTAACTGATAATAGTGTCCAGTCCATACAATATATAGCATCTCCTACGCTCATACTCTGGAAATATAATATAAATGAGAATATTATTTCGTAATGATAACGAATGAATCATCAATATCTATTACATTACATAATTAGCATTATTGGTATATACAAAAATTTATGTATATGCATACCTACATACACAATCGATCGCTAGACACTATCTTTCGAATTTTGTAACAAATTGAGTTGTACAAAGATAGTTTGCGACCCTCCGCGATATAATTTCTATTATCTCACTAACAATAAGATTCAGACGGTTTGTAGATTGTATCAATTGTCACTTACCTTAAGAATAACTTCGTTTCCGGACCAGCAATAAATGTAGATTTGTACAAACATGCCAATGGTGTACACTAAGAGAGTCATAGTACCAGACAATTCTGTAATATGTATTGACAGATAATACACACTTGTACATAATAATAGTATGCTTGCAAAGAATTGAACGAAAAACACTTGGTTAAATATAACGTTTACCGTTTTGGCGTATCTATAATACATAGTTTCATGTTCAGTTGTCCTACATTGCTGTATGAATAAAATAATCATTATCTTGACATATGTAATTTTATAACATGATTCCTACGTACACGTACAAGTTTAAAAATTGTGAAAAAAAATTTAGTATGTATATTAATAAAACGTTTACTGAAACAAATGTTAAGTCCTGTCGATCGGGCACTTATTGTTAGATCTAATCTTTATTTCAATTTCTGCGCAACTTAACAGAAAATGATTATATAACAATATTATGAGTGCTCCGTTTTCGATACTGTGCAATAATTGTCTGTTAACAACATGTCAGTTATATTGGATCTTTTAGATGTAAACGTCTTTCCGTCATGAATTTCAATAATTACCGTTCTAAATAACAGCAAATTTTAGATACAAAAATTTAATAATGTATATTGAATACGCACGCGTTCAATCACATGAAAAAGATTTATATGCACTGATGCACATGTACATAAAAAAGATTTGAATATACAATTATGAATAAAGATTCTTATATTGTAACTTACTTGTAAATGCTGAGATGATAACGTATGCACTCCGATATTTCTGTTTTGTTTTTATTCGAAGATAGAGCATGTCCCAGATAGCTAATTGTTTTATTAATTATTAATTTGTGAAGACGACTTTCGAAAATTTCAAGCTGAGCACACGTATATAAAAATAATCCAAGGATTAAAGTTTCCATGCCGGCACTTATTATAGCGGCAAAAATTACAGTTACGATTTGGTGAATGGATATAATCCAAAACATCAAAGGTACATTGTAATTAAATGGTAGCCATATTCGATAAGGTAGGTGACCTTGCGTAATATTTAATATTGATCTTATTGTAGTGCCTGTGACGGAGCATGTTACTAAAAGTGAGTACTTAATCAAACACGATCTGTAAATGGAGAAACAAAATTGTATTTCGTTACAGTTACAACACAGTTTGATTAAAAATTGAAATTCACTTTAATTTATTTTATTTTGCTTAAATATACATATACATATAATAACAAATTTTAATTATTACTCTGTGCGTAATGTGTGTGTTAACGCACACGTGTGTAATACTGTCTTAAAGTTATTTGAAAAAGTCCGCTTTATATAAAAAGTTTTTTTCAATTAAATGGTATACCTATAAATATTTATTGCGTTTCTAAATGTAGCAATAAGAGAGAGAGAGAGAGAGAGAGAGAGAGAGAGAGAGAATTATTAATTTCAAGAGAAAAAGAGAGAAAATATTAATTTCAATAAGATTCAACAAATAAAAGACTTTACGTGAGACACTATAAAGTGTTTCACCAATGCTAGTTGGAAGGAAAATCAGATCAGTGTATGCATATATGTATAATAGTGCGCAAATTAAATTTTTGTGAAATTTTATGCGAATATATTAATGTTTTGTTATAGGATCTTCCTTATAATAATTATATCTACCTGATGAACAGATCAAATTTTGTTTGTATTGCCACTTCGTCCTCGTCATGAGGTTTACGCAGTGTCTCCGTCAATACTTGCATTAAGTTGTTGACGGCATTTCGACGTACCACAATGACAGTCACTTTACAACATACGGCAACAACAGTCAAAAACATTAGAGTATTAGTAGCAAAATCCTCGATGTTATCAACAACAAGAACTATATCCATAAATTGGGTTAACATCATAAAATATTCCGAGAATATTACAATAAAGGAAAATGCATAGTACAGCAGTTTTGCACCATTTGATGACCATTCATTAGGTCGCCACATGCCACAAAGGCTACATATTACAAAATTCATAGAAAGTATCTGCATATTTAGATTTCTTTCTTTAATAAGTATAATTTATCGATGCATAAAAGTATAGCCTCTTTCTATATGTAAAATATTCAAAACAGTGGTTTAAAGCATTGCGAAAAATATTATTTTAAATAAACCAAATTAAATGTCTGATGAAAAATACATGTAAGATAATTATGAGAAAAATTAAATTTAATGCAGAAGACATTATAACATTTTATGAAATGGATTATGTAATTAGTAACTTTAAAAAATGTTTAATTTGCACTTAACACTGAATGTAAATTAGTGTCTGCGATACATTTTATTCACTTAACATATCGTATTACAATTCTGTATTTTGTATAGAATATTATCTCGAATTAAGAATCGAACGGTCTTATTTAAATATAATGCAATATACTGTGATTTACATGAACACAACTATTATAGAACGTAATAATTATAAGTATTTGCCTCTTGTCGAATATCGCTCCTCACAATTTCACTAGCTACTAATACAACCGAACAAATGTTGCAGACGTTATATAAAACGTGTTTTACTACATACATATATCATAAAGATCAATAAAATTCATTTAAATGTAACCGAGCACGTCTTGCGACGGACTATGTATAGTTTACATACTTCAACTTCTTAACCCTAGTATCATTAATAATGGTCATTAAAAAATCGAATGAAGTCGATTAGACATTTATTACGGGGTAGCCGTGGGTGGCTATGCGTTCTTTTCCGCTCTTGAGTGAATACTATAATTGTGAAAATTTTCTTACTTAGAACTATCATACAAGTCATTACCGTCCTTTACCATCCTGCATATTGTGTTATATTCCCATCGAATATAAAATATTTGTATTTTCATGTTAGTCAGAACTGAAGTGGAATGTCATATTTCTCGCACAGCCTTTATTACTTTGTTACGTAAAATAAGAGATAATATAGCAATATGGGCACATTGTATATATATTTAAATATTTTTTAAGATAAATATTTGAGCGTATACCGATTGTAACAAATGTATACCTTTAAATATTTTCTAAAATAATTATATACTTGTACCAATTACAACAAGTGTATACGATATAAACTATATTATATCGTCAACTAAATTACCCACACAATATCTATGATCATATATGACAAAGATTAAGAAATATTTATTTCTTGAATTTATGTTAAAGCCAAAATTAGTAGTGCAGCTTGCATATTTCATTACACTCACTGTGTAATGTCTATATGTATTCAATGTGCATGCATTAGCGGTAGTATTCATACGAGCATAGTAAGGAGTAAGGTTGAAATAAATACGTATAAACAAAAAATTAATTTTTTAGATTTTACTAATTTATGAAAACTACATAATTATCACATATCTAACAAGTATACTTTTGTTTACTTATGTTTTACTTTGAAGTATGTTAAATGCCGAGTATGACGTTTTTAAGATCTGAAAAGAAAATATTAATATATGAATAGAAATAGATTATTGGTTATTAGTGCAGTTATTAAAAATTTTGACCGTATTGTCAATATTAAATTGATCGTATTTCTCTGATATTGTAATATGTGCCAAAATATGTTGCTGATAATATTGTGTACAAATATTTATTTTGTCACCAAAATACTTGTCTCACCACGATACTACTACTAACATTGCTATAAGATTGAAGGGACAGAGTTATCAAGAAGCTGCTAGTGAATTTTATAGGAATTGTGCTTCGTATTATGATCATGAGCAATTCCTTCTTTTCGTTAACTGATAATAGTGTCCAGTCCATACAATATATAGCATCTCCTACGCTCATACTCTGGAAACATAACATAAATGAAAATATTATTTTGCAATAATAACGCAAATGAATGTCAATATTTATACATTACATTACTAGCATTATTTATAATATATGGAAATTTATGTATATGCATACCTACACAATCGATCGTTCGAGATAATCTTTCAAATTTTGTAACAAATTGAGTTGTACATAAATAGTTTGCGACCTTTCGCGATATAATTTCTATTATCTCACTAACAGTAAGATTGAGATGGTTTGTAGTGCATCGATTGTTACCTTAAGAATGACTTCGTTTCCAGACCAGCAATAAACGTAGATTTGTACAAACATGCCAATGGTGTACACTAAGAAAGTCACAGTACCAGACAGTTCTGTAATATGTATTGACAGATAATACACACTTGTACATAATACTAGCATGCTTGCAAAGAATTGAACGAAGAACACTTGATTAAATATAACGTTTACCATTTTGGCGTATCTATAATACATAGTTTCATGTTCAATTGTCCTACATTGCAGTATGAATAATAAGATAATCATTATCTTGATGTATAATTTTATAACATGGCTCCTACGTATACAAGTTCAAAAATTGTGAAAAAAATTTTAGCGTGTATATGGACTAAAACATTTGCTAAAATAAATGTTAGGCCTTGTCGAGCGAGCATTTAGACCTAATTTTTATTTCAATTTCTGCGCAACTTAACACAGAATAATTATATAACAATGAAATGTTGAGCGTGCTCCGTTTTCGATATCATAAAAAATTGTCTGTTCATATCAGTTATATTAGATCTTTTAGATGTAAATGTTTTTCCATCATAAATTATCGTTCTAGATAACAGCAATTTTTAGATACAAAAATTTAATAATGTATACGCACGCGTTCAATGTCACATGTGCATATATTTTTTTAAATTAAAAAACTTGAAATCTCTACTTTAAGATACTATATGATTCGATTTTAAATTTAATGTATCCCTGCTACTGTAAACTCTTAAATCTGAGAGCATGTTTACCATAATGAAAATTGCAAAGGTATGCACGAATTTGCTAAAATTTTTCTCGGGCATGTCATTATGTTGCGTCATAAAGTTCGAACCTTTCACTTTAATTTGAAAAAAAAAAGCAAGTTGCTACGATTATTTTTCACAAAGTTACAATCAAAGTTGGCCAATTTTTACCCAAAATTTTTGCTATGCTATAGTTTTTTTGAGTAGTGTACAATTGTGTACAAAAATTCTTATATTGTAACTTACTTGTAAATGCTGAGATGATGACGTATGCACTCCGATATTTCTGTTTTGTTTTTATTCGATGAAGAAAGGGCATGTCCCAGATAGCTAATTGTTTTATTAATTATTAATTTGTGAAGACGACTTTCAAAAATTTCAAGCTGAGCACACGTATATAAGAGTAATCCAAAGATTAAGGTATCCGTGCCGATATTTATCATAGCGGCAAAAATTAAAGTTACAATCTGATGAATGGATACAATCCAAAACACCAAAGGTACATTGTAATTAAATGGTAACCATATTCGAAAAGGGAGGTGACCTTGCATAACATTTAATACTGATCCTATTGTATTGCCTGTGACAGAGCTCGTTACTAAAAGTGAGTACTTAATCAAACACGATCTGTAAATGTAGAATAAACAAAATTGTATTTTGTTACAGTTACGATAAAGTTTGATTAAAAATTGAAATTCACTTCAATTCACTTTAATTTGCATAAATATATAAAAACTAAGTTTAATTATTACTCTGTGTGTATGTGTACGTTTACGCACACGTGTGTAATATTATTTTCAAATATAATATTTGGACATTCTACTTTATATAAAAAGTTTTTTTTTCAAATCAACAGTATATAAAATATTTATTACGTTTCTAAATGTAGCAATGAGAGAAAGAGAGAGAGAGAGAGAGAGAGAGAGAGAGAGAACTCTAAAATATAATATCAATAAGATTCAACAAGTAAAAGAATTTGCGTGAAATATTATAAAGTGTTTCATCAATGCTAGTTGGATCCTTTGGAGAAAAATCAGATCAGTGTACGCAAATTAATTTTTTGTGATATTTTATGCGAGTATATTAATATTTTGTTATAGGATCTTCTTTATAATAAGTGTATCTACCTGTTAAACAAATCAAATTTCGTTTGTATTGCCACTTCGTCCTCGTCGTGAGGTTTACACAGTGTCTTCATCAATACTTGCATTAAGTTGGTGATGGCATTTCGACGTACCACAATGACGGTCGCTTTACAACATACGGCAACAACAGTCAAGAACATTAGAGTATTAGTGGCAAAATCCTCGATATTATCGACAACAAGAATTATATCCATAAATTGGGTTAACATCAAAAAATATTCCGAAAATATTACAATAAATGTAAATACATAATACAGAAGTTTTGCACCATTTGATGACCATTTATTAGGTCGCCACATACCACAAAGGGTATATATTACAAAATTTAGAGAAAGTATTTGCATATTTGGACCTCTTTCTTTAATAAGAATAATTTATCAATGCGCATAAAAGTATTGCCTCTTTCTATACGTAAAATATCTAAAAAAGTGATTTAAAGCATTGCGAAAAATATTTTTTTTTCAACTATATTAAATTAAATATCCGACAAAATATACTAAATATATAAGATGATTATGTATAAGAAAATTAAATTTAATGCAGAAGCTTATAACATTTTATGAAATGGATTGTGCAATTGGTAAATTTTAAAAATGTTTAAATTGCACTCAACACTGAATGTAAATTGTTATCTGCGACAAATTTCATTCACTTAGCTTATCATATTATAATTCTATTTTGTGTAGAATGTTATCTCGACTTAAAAATCAAACGGTCTTATTTAATTGTAAAGCAATATACTATAATTCACATAAATACAACTGTACGTTATAGAAAGCAATATTTATAAGTATTTATCGCGCACCTCTTGTCGAATATCGCTTCTCACAATTTCACTAGCTAATAAAACAGAATTAACAAATATTACAAATTCAACATGTGTACGTTATTATTGTAAAGCCAATAAATTTCATTTAAATGTCTGAACACGTCTTACGTCTAGACTATGGTTTCACGTACTACAACATCTTGTCAACCCCGCACTGCCGTCAATTGCTGTCATTAAAAAATCGACATGAAGTCGTTTAGTCATTTATTACTGGGTGTATGTTACTTTCCGCTTCTGTGAATACTACAATTGTGAATGTTTCCTGCTTGCATCGGAGTCATTATCGTCCTTTACCGTCCTGCGCACATTGTTATGTTCCCATTGAATAAAATATTTCTATAGTTTCCGTATATCCGTCGCAACTAACAATAAGTGCAAGTATTTCCCGCAAAGTCTTACGTCTTATTATATGTACATGTAACATTGTAAGGCAATGTAACGATGAAGGTAATGCATAATAAGTATAACATTTAAGTATTTTCTAAGTTAACCGCAAACGCGCGTATTTTAAATATAACAAGTGCAGTATAGGAAAATAATCTACTAACCTTATGAGCTACATATATATACATCTATCACATGTGAGATATATAGATTGAGAAGTTATTCTGTTCTCATTGTAATGTCAAAGCCAAAATTATATGTAACACCTACAATTTTTATACTGCGAGGACAATATTTGTTTTCTTTAATTATTGCCGACAATATGTATGTTAATAAAGCACTACTTTTTGCGTGAAAAAATCATTAAAGAAACATTGTTGTAACGTGATTGAGAGATATAATTAATGATGATCTTATATTTGTAGTTTTTTTAAGATTTAAACAAAATTAATTTTTTCTATTGTATCAAAAATCACAAACTTATCCGCGCTTTCAAACGCTGTTAAAAATTTACTATTTGACAGATCTATTTGAAATTTTGTATGCATTTATACCTACAAGGAAACGACAAATACAAAAAATAATATGCGATCTGTGAGAGCCATTTCTTATTAAAGTCACTTATTAAACATCTTATGTAGGTATATAAGACATTTAAATATATGTAAGACGTACATATTCACAGAAAAATAAGTTTAACAATTATAAGCTTAATAACGGCATTATTAAATTTATAATTCACATGAAATGTAAGGTTGCGATATAGAATAGGCAAAAATTTGCAATAATTAATTTATCAAAGGACTATATATATATATATATAACATTATTATTATCCTCTGCAAGCTTACTTTTTATTATGTATTATTTATGTCTCGCTTTTGTAATACATTAAATGCCGAGTATGATATTTTCAAGATCTAAAAAAAAGAGTTAGAGATATGTTATTATAGAAGACTAGATGCATCTGTTAACAATAAGAGTAATAAAAAACAATACAAACACTGCTGTAAGACTGGAGAGATAAAGTTATCAAGAAGCTACTGGTAAATTTTATAGGAAGTGTGCTGCGTAACATGATCATTAATAGTTCTTTCCTATCGTTGACTGATAGTGAAGGCCAGTTCATACGGTATATTGTATCTCCTATACACATACTCTGCCAACATAACGTAAATAAATTAATTATCTCGTAATAATTGAATAATAAATTTATTCATTTTATTAAATATGTATTTTATACATGGCATACATAGACATATATGCCACATACACATATACGCACGCATGTACATTTTATAAACATTCTTTTATTACACGTTTTATTTTGTAATATTTTATGTTCTGTATACTTTTTGAATGTAGAATAATTTCAAACTTGCGCAAAATAAATATTACATAATTATTTTAAAAAGTAAAAAAAAATCAAATTATGAAGATATATGTATTTGTGATTTTAGTAATTATTTCAGTTACAAGCGTATCTGTTGTAAGACTTATAAATACAGACTTACCTTAAGCATGACTTCATTTCCGGACCAACAATAAACATAGATTTGTACAAACATACAAACAGTATACACTATCAAAGTAGCAGTTTCGGACAATGAACTATGTGCTGATAGATAATATACACTTGTACATAATACCAATATACTGCCAAAGAATTGGACAAAGAGTACCTGGTTAAATATGACGTTTACCGTTTTGGCGTATCTGTAATGGCGTAGTCATGTTGTAAATGAAAGAGCTCTTTTATTATTACATAAAGTTGTAATTAGCTTAATTTTAAGAATTGCAAAACATTCTGGCGTTTATTATTTATTTATCATATTACTTTTAACATCAAATGGTTCATAAAATCACTTTAAAAATATTCTCTTTTTCAATTATTTTTGACAATTTAAAGTTTCAAATAATTGTTTCATTAGGTACATATTATTTTTTGAGACAGATTTTAAATATTTTGCTAACAAAAAAGAAATATTAACTGTCATTATGAATACAATTTCTAGATAGAGCAATTAATATACACATATGATATTGAAAAATACTTATAAAACTAGATGTGTGTGTGAACATGCACAAAAGAAATAATTCTAACTTGTAAATCTTGAGGTGATAATGTACGTATTTTGATATTATCGCTTTTTCTTCATTTGACGAGGGAGAGAAGTGTTCCAGATATCTAATTTTATTTTTCGTTAATTTACTAGTTTTATTAATTATTAATTTGTTAAGACGACTTTCAAAAATTTCAAATTGGGCACATGTTTGCAGAAACAATCCAAAAACTAAGGTCTCCGTGCCAACATTTATGATAGTAACAAAAATCACAGTTATAATTTGTTGAATGGACGTAATCCAGAACATCGGAGATGTGTTAAAATCATATGGTAGCCACACTCGATAAGGTAAGTCACCTTGCATAACATTTAGCACAGATCTTACTGTGACGCCAGTGACAGAACAAGTCGCCAAAAGTGAATATTTTATCGAACATGATCTGCAAAAAAGTAAATTAAGATATATTTATTAAGATTATATTTATTAAACTTTGCGCGCGCCAACTGAAATTTATTTGTTCTTTTAGTATTTACAAAAATTTATATCCAATTTTATTGCAAAACTTAATTAATATTTTCCGAGAAACGTAATGTGTTTGAAAGGATGCTAGAAAGACGAATAAACTCCATGCGGTGTCGCTGTTTCACTGACAATATATGTTTGCGTGTGATATATTAATATAGTAGTGTGTAATCAGGTGTTTACTACATCAATATCTCATACATACATACACACGCATTTTCATATGTAAGTTTTCTCTTAAAGAATCTAGACTCATTAATAAAAGCACATCAGTGCTATGTATATTCTTTCATATAATTTCGAATGTGCATAAAGCTTGTTTTATATATACAAAGTATAAAACTTTAATATCAAACATATCTACGTCGTTAGAGTCGATGCTAAAAATCGATAACAAAACTATATTTTCTTAAAATTTGTTGTTTTTCATATCACACTCTTTCGTTTTGATAGTAACATATGTGTGTGTGTGTGTGTGTGTGTGTGTGTGTGTGTCTCTTATACACA